CCCTGTTTTCCCGTGCTGGCAGGGTAGTATCTAAAATTGAGCGTCCTACAGAGAAAGAGCACTAAAATGGTTCGATCTCACATACATACATGGATGTGATTTTCACTTCCTTACAAATAATGAAATACTATTTTTGGTTTGCACGTCCGTCTGTTGTCAAGTACCTAGACATTTGAGTGCGCGGCCTGTAAACTTTATGTGACTTCATTTGATCGACAGCTTTTTTATAAAATTTCTTGATTTACATATGTTACACTTGCAAGTATAGGGCACATGATCGTATACTGGCCACTGATATCGTTTCAGTTGGGGGTTTTGTAAGCCTACATAATGTTCGTATCTGCACAAAATTGATTGCTGCAGTCTACGCTTCGATCACACGACCAGGTCATAAAAGCGGAGCCCAAACGGAGTAGCGTTTTATTTCACTGAAATCTAACCCCTTGTGGCATATTTGCCTAGATAAAAATCATCCTACAGGTTTCCACCTTCTGGGCACTTGGTAGCTTCTAATGTTCATTTTCTAAAAGTATATATTTTTATTTTCAGGAACTTCGAAAGCTTGTTCCCCGGGACTCTGATGTTATCTTAGGTGAATTGCAAAAGCAGTACAAGCAACAACAGCAAGATAAAGAACAAATTTTTCGGAAAGAATTCATAAAGGAGGAGGAGCAACGAAATTTTCTTGTGCAACTTCGGCGTCAGGAGCTAATGCAACGAAGCAGGGCCCTCCGTCTGGCACAATCAAAAATCATGGCAGATCTGGAGTAAAGTAGAAAATATGTATTTATTTAAATTAACACTTGGAATAGCATGAGCTTTTATATATATATAGTATTTGTTTGTACACTGATCTATCTCTCAGGATGTGTCCATCCTGGATTGATGCTTTTGCGAATCGGTCCAACCGATCGTATTTCTCTGCAAAGCTACTAATAATTGATATGTTACTAGCTATGTGTCAGTAACAAATCTTGTTTATGTTTTTAGTATTCCGGCAAGATATATATATATATATATATATATATTCAC